CTGTGCTAAAATTCAGTGTGTGTGTGGCAGGGGGGAGGGGTCATATTACTAAAAGAAAGAAGAGGAAAGTGGATGCTGAGCAACAGTGGTCTCTGCCACACCTACAAAATATGGTTCTGTCAGGTGAACAAAGTTAATGGGCAGTAGGACCATGTCTCCAGATACATTTCAAGATTTGCATGTACATCAGGGCACCTGGGTGGCTCAGTCGTTAAGCGTCAGCCTTCGGCTCCAGTCATGATCCCAGGGTCCTGGGATCGAGCCCCACATCGGGCTCCCTGCTCGGCGGGAAGCCTGCTTCTCCCTCTCCCACTCCCCCTGCTTGTGTTCCCTCTCTACCTGTGTTTCTCTCTGTCAAATAAATAAATAAATAAAACCTTTAAAAAAAAAAAAAAAGAATTGCATGTACATCAAAAGCACGATAGCAAGAAGTGTTATCTTGCTATAAGATTATCTTATTAAAAAAATTGTCAGAGTTCAGAAATTAATTTTGTAATATCACTGTTATATTTACTATTGCTTTTTTTTTTTTTTTTAAGTAAATTCTACCCCCAGTGTGGGGCTCAAACTCACACCACTGAGCTCAAGAGTCACATGCTCTACCTACTGAGCCAGCCAGGTACCCCTACCATTGATTTTTGTAAAAGGCTTAATTTATTCAAATAATACTTACTGATCTGAGCAATGTGCTAGGCGATGGAAAAACTGACATTAACAAGACCTTATCTCACAGAGCTGTGCCTAGTGGGGGAGACAATTAAACAAGAAGATATAGTGCAGTGACTAGACCTGAGAAACTGGGTGGGGGAATTAAGAAAAGCTTCTTGGAAATAGAGCTACTGTACGACCCAGCAATTGCACTACTGGGTATTTACCCCAAAGATACAAATGTAGTGATCCGAAGGGGCACATGCACCCCAATATTTATAACAGCAATGTCCACAATAGCCAAACTATGGAAAGAGCCTGGATGTCCATCAACAGATGAATGGAGAAAGAAGATGTGGTATATATTTATATATATATACACACACACATACACACACAATGGAATATTATGCAGCCATCAAAAAGATGAAATCTTGCCATTTGCAACGACATGGATGGAACTAGAGGGTATTATGCTGAGTGAAATAAGTCAATCAGAGAAAGACAAGTATCATATGATCTTACTGATATGAGGAATTTGAGGAACAAGACAGAGGATCATAGGGGAAGAGAGGGAAAAATGAAATAAGATGAAACCAAAGGGAGACGAACCATAAGAGACTTTTTTTTTTAGATTTTATTTATTTGACAGAGAGAGACACAGCGAGAGAGGGAACACAAGCAAGGGGAGTGGGAGAGGGAGAAGCAGGCTTCCCGCTGAGCAGGCAGCCTGACGCGGGGCTCATCTCAGGACCCTGGGATCATGACCTGAGCCGAAGGCAGACGCTCAATGACTGAGCCACCCAGGCGCCCCACCATAAGAGACTCTTAATCTCAGGAAACAAATTGAGGGTTGCTGGAGGGGAAGGGAGGGGAGTTGGGGGGATGGGGTGGCTGGGTGATGACATTGGGGAGGGTATGTGCTATGGTGAGCACTGTGAATTGTGTAAGACTGATGAATCACAGACCTGTACCCCTGAAATAAAATATACATTATATGTGAATAAAAAATAAATAAATACAATTACAAAAAAAAGGAAAGTTCCTTGGAGGAAGTAACATCTGTGCTGAGAACTGACCAATAAAATACATTCTATTTCATTCAAAGAGCTTATCAGACTTTGAATAGATTTCAGATTCATCAGCTGGACTGAATGAGGTTTTACTATTTGCAGCCAAGCACTGTGGCAGGTAATTGTACAAACACTGTATTCATTTCATTCTCCCAACAAATCAAGGAAGGTATGAGCTCTGCTTTACGGATGAAGGTACTGGGACTCAGGGATGTTAAGGAACTTGCCAAGGTCACATAACTGGTAAGTGAGAGAGGCAGCATTCAAACCCAGGTCATCTTTCCAGTATAACATATACTTTTCCTGTGCAGATTAGAAGCACATTAACAAAAAGCAAACATTAGCATTAAAAATTCTATGGAATATGCCCTTGTAAGATATTTACAATTGCTTCTATCATATATACATCCAAATGTATTCACTTTCTAAACTGCACAAGGGCTTTATAAATACCCTGCATAATTAAGTGCTAGACTGTGTAAGTTCATACTGTGAGTGCAAGAATTCAGAAGAGTGGGGCATTACTGAGAGTTAGAATAGCTGGGGAAGTGCATGCAGGCCTTGATGAATGATACAGAGGACAGTTCATCCCAAACCCTAAAATCACAGGAGAAAACTAAAGATAAATTGGGCACATAGTGAAACAACACTGAATCATTGAGCCTCAAGTGACTGACAGAGGTTGTATTGGGAAGAGGCTTTTTCTGCTCCTCACAGGTAACGGAGGAAGGAAGCTTCAATGTCAATTTATCCCTCATTTAAGTGGCCCTGGTAGCTGTGGCCTCACCCCCTCCCCTTTTCTAGGAAAAAGTATATTCCAGGGGCACCTGGGTGGCTCAGTCTGTTGAGCATCTGCAGTTGGCTCAGGTCATGATCCCAGGGTCCTGGGATCAAGCCCCATGTCTGCTCTCTGCTCAGCAGGGAATCTGCTTCTCCCTCTCCCTCTGCCTGCCGCTCCCCCTGCTTGTGCTCTCTCTCTCTGACAAATAAATAAATAAATAAATAATCTTTAAAAAGAAAGAAAAAGTTGCATGCTCTACTGACTGAGCCAGCTAGGCACCTCATAATAGTTTCCCTTAGATGTATGCTATACCATAGAAGGGTCATGGCAAACTCCTTTACACGGATGGGACGGTCCCAGGCTAGACAAGGTTACTTATACCCCCAAATCCCTCATCAACCCAGTACAGTCACCTGGAAAAGGGCTGACAGAAGGGAAAAGGCCCTTCCTCCCATGGAACTCTGCCTCTCCTATCTCCCCCCACAAATGAGCACTGTGTGGAAAGCTGACCAAAGGAAGAGGTAGGAGGCGCTCTTAGGGTCAGACAGAACCCAGCAACCTGGCCCCCATCCAGTGGAAAACACCATTGTCTCAGTTGCTTTCTCAACTTCCTGCCCTCAAACATCTACCTCACCCAAGAGGCATACTCAGGGTCAGGCCTCCTGCTCTACCTCCTGGTTTGGAGGCACTGCACACCAAGAAGACAGGAGACCCGAAGGTTCCCCTAAAGTGAGACGGAAGATCAGCCAGACCTGTCCCCTGTGGGGAAGGGCCAAAGAGATGAGAAAGGCAGGCCTTTGAATCACTAGAGGAGGATGTTTCCAGATCTTAATGAAGATCCGGGATACTCTTCTCTCTCTCACCCCCTACTTCTTTCTCCTAGTGCAGTTCACCGGAAGATCTGGGGTTTTCTGACAAAAGTGAGAAACAGCTGGATGGGAAAAGAGTGGGGGTGGGTCTACGTAGGTGTCAGTGCCTTGAGGCCCGTCACAATTGTTTGGTTTGTGGGAGAGGAGAATTCGGAAGACTGGGTGTGGCTGTGGGTGTGTCCGAAGTAGAATGAGGGATCTACAACCCAGCTCTGTTAAAGTCTGTTAAGGGCTCCCTGCCCTACCAGCCCTCACGATGAGACCAGATGCTCATTCCCAGCTGATTCCCATTCCCAGCCACTGACTCCCAGCTCCTTGGTCCCTCCCCCATCCCCACACTCCGTCTCCTCTGGCAGGATAGCTGGGCTTTTGGCTGGGAACCGAGCTCAAAGCGGAAATGGGCAGTTGGGAGGTGTGATTTATGTCTCTGAGTTCACCCCAGGCTGGAGCCCAACACATGGACCCTCCCCTCAAATGGCCTTTTGGCAAATTTCCTCCTCCTCTTCCTCAGAAATCTCAGGCTCTTCTAACTGGTCAGGGGTCATCTAGAGGAACCACTCCATCTCCACTACCATCCCCCCTCTCCACCACCACTACCACTCATACCCCCACCTCCTGCTGACTGGTGATGGAAGAATCTATTAACTTTACAATCACGCACAGGAGGCAAGATTCCCCTATCAACCCAAACAATAGGGAAGTCCCTCTGTATATCTAATTTCCTTCTATCGAGCCAGTAGCTGGTGAAACAAAGGGCAGCTACTTCACTCAGAATTCAGCCTCTGGCCTCTCAAGCTCCTTTGGCAGATTTAAAGTAATTCCCCAACTCTGTGATTGTTTCTATCTCTAAAGACTTCTTAGGAACAAATCTAAGGTATCAGGGTGCAATTTTCTCATTCCTAACCAGTAACATATCAGGTGACATTGGTGCATAACCCCATCTCCAGCCTGTCAAGGACTGGAAAGTGCACCCCGCCTTCCTTCAGCTAAGCCAATCCTGAAACCTAGAGTAGAAAAGATCTTCACAGGAAGTGAGAATCCCCATAACTCCTTCCAGGGTGTCCCACCTTTACCAGTTAGAAAAGTCCTATTAGAAATCTCATTTCGCCTTTTCCTGCTTTTTCAGATTCCTCATCAGTCAAATGGCTTTGTAAACTTTAGAGGGTTATTAGGAAGATGAAAGAGGGAAAGGGATTTGAAAGATATAAAATGCTGCCTCTTCAGATTATTTTGAGGTTAAATGAGGTAATATATACATAATGCTTAGATCTGTACCTGGTACTTGGTAACTTAGCTAATTTTTCCCACGATACCTCAAAAATTGGGGAGGGACCTGAAAGTTTGCCCTTCCTAGACATTTAGAGCTCCTAGTCTCATTATAGCCTCCTTGGATGGGAAGCTCAGATTCCTAGGTTTTAATTTCTGAAGGTACACGGTTGAATGAATGAGTGAGTCCATTTTCCATTCACTTTTCTGGGGTCTGGCCTCGCCTGGCCTGGCTTTCTTCCCATCACCCCCTGCAGAGCCTTTCCCTGAGAGCCCTGAGCTCATCCTAGTTACCAAGTGTTTGTTTAGTCCTGCCCACCCCCCCCACCACCACCCACACACACAGAAGGACTCCAGCCCCCACGCTGGTTTTCCCCAGTGAGTTCTTTTTTTTCCCCCACTGAGTTCTTACATAGGAATCTGAATGTGTTGGAGATGGAAACTCAGGGACCATCTCATTCAATTCCTTTGGTTTGGGAAAGACAAAACTGAGAGCCAGAGAAGGGCAGAGTTGTACTCAAGCTGGAACTTACAAGTCAAATACCTGGATCCATCCCAGGGTGTCCCCTGTCTGCTGTCAGGGCTAGAAGAATTCTCAGCCTCCTCTTCTTTTCTCCACCTCAGTAGATAGAATAAATCACTATTTTTAAATGCCTGGAACATAAGCAAGGGCCGGAAAAGGGCTCAAGAAGGTCCCTCCACACACACCCTGTGGTTTCTTCTTCATTACTCCATCTTGTCCCTAGCTCTTATTTCCGGCCCCTTTTTGCATCCCCACCACCACCACCACCCCCCAACCCTTCAGTCACACTTATTTGGCTTCTGTGCTAACCCGCATATCATTTGTGTGTCACTCAACCAATATATTTTTTGCTTTTTGCTTTTTGGTTTTTTTAAATGGACCAGTGGCTCTCTGGGAGTGTTTAGTCTGAATCCATGGAAATACCCAAGGGTCCATAACGGGTCACATTTGACTGGCAGCTTCCGTGAGCATCACCACCCCAGAAGCCACTTGGGCATTCCTTATGCCCCTGCCAGTGAGGCTCAAGTATTCCACGGACAAAGCCAGTGGATTGGTTTCTCCTAAAGTGAAGCCAGATTGCTTGGGTTTGAATCCCAGCTCTTCCAGGGATACTGGAACTAGTGACTTAAACTCTCTGTGCCTCGGTTCCCTCATCTTAACAGATAGACCGGGCGTCTGGGTGGCTCAGTTGGTTGAGCAACTGCCTTCGGCTCAGGTCATGATCCTGGAGTCCCGGGATCGAGTCCCGCATCAGGCTCCCTGCTCGGCGAGGAGCCTGCTTCTCCCTCTAACCCTCCCCCCTCTCATGTACTCTCTCTCTCTCTCATTCTCGCTCTCTCAAATAAATAAATAAATCTTTAAAAAAAAAAAAAAAAGATCTACAGCAGCTCCCTCACATGGCGCAGTACCAAGTAAATGAGTTCATACATGTAAAGCTCTCAGAATAGTGTGTATTATGATATGTATAATCGTATATACTATATAGTATATATAATAATACCATAGGCTATTATTATAGGAAAAGACAATAACTCCAGGAAGCTGTGTCTCTACCCCCACCCTCTGTATATACCTGGGTCATGTGGCCTGATTCCCTTCTTTTCCTGCAATCCCATTACTCTTCTCCAAACCTGTTCGCCTGGCATCTAGGCAGTCCTTACCCTTCCCTAGCCCCCTCCTCTCCCCTGGGGCCCAAACCTGGATACGGGGGAGGGAAGGAGGAAAGGAGGGAAAAACGTGGCCATTTTAGGGCAGAGGAGCTGTTAGAGGGGAGAGGGAGTGGGGGCAGCAAGGGAGTAGACCCAGAGTTGGGAGGCTCCTTATTGGGAAAGGCCCCTGTCTGATTCTGGGTGACAGAGGCCAGGCCTGGGCACTCGGCCAAGTCCAAAGAGTGGGCCCCAGGCCCTGTCCTGGCCCCGAAGCCAGCACCGGTGAAGAGACTAGATGCTCAGTTGCTTTGGGCCCTTCTCCACAGAGTCACAGCACACAGGCCCCTACCCCCATCCTACCCCTTCTGCCTAAAGCCCTGGCCATTAAAGTGACCAGAGCCGGGAGGATGACCTCCCTGCACGCGTGTGTTGGGAAGAGGGAGGGGCTCCTGCTTTGGCCGTCTCTAGGACACTGCACTGCCCACCACCCACCACCCCCACCCCCTCCGTTCCATGTCCAACACTGTGAGCTCCTCCTACAGGAACTCAGCCAGTTCTGGGGAGACCACTGCCAGTGAGGGGGGGCCCAAGGGTGAGTAACGGTTCCCGTGGGGATCGGGGTGCCCATGACTAATCAATGAGAGAGTGAGAGAGGAAACTTACATTCCTTGACTTGTAGGGCAGTGGATGGAGGTGGGAGGTGGGGCAGGGCAGACTGAGGCAAGGACAGCCAAGTAGGGACACAGAGAAGGAAGCTAGGCTGCAGTGGGGGTGGGGTGTCTCTTCATCCCTGCTCTCTCCACATCCCAGGTTACAGGAGGGGCAGGCCCCAGGTAACCAAATACCTGCGTCCCTGCTCTGTTCAGAGGCTCCCCATCTTCTGGCCAATGAGCCCCTCCCACCGTTCATTCACGTGGGGCTACTGACCTTGAACGTGTTGAGAGAGGGACAGACTGGCATCCCATTTGCATTCCTTAGCCTCTATTCCACTTATCTAGGGGTCCCCATTCCCAGAAGGCTCCGCTTGGAAAAACTCCACTGGGCCAGGCTGAGAGCTAAGGCATAAGAGAGGAAATTAGCTGGGAGCCAAGGTGCCCCGGTGAGGAAGGAAGCCAGTCTGCTGCCACAAAGGAGTCCGGAAAGAGAGGGAACAAACAGCCAAGTGCTTCCTGCGCACTCTCTTTCCTACCTCCCCACCAGCCTCCTCCAGACGGTCCCAACATCCCAGGGCCTAGGGGAGAGGGAAGAAAGGGGTCCGGAGACCCACGCCGGATGCCACCTACTGCTTCCAGCTCAGCAGCCTTCATGGCAGGGGCGCCAGGGGCTACTCTCACGGCAACCCCCGCATCCACTGCTGAGCGATCACCCCCACCTCAGCCAGTCCCTGAAGCTCCTCGCCCCAATTTCTTCCACTGGGGAAGAAAGTGACCCGTTCCTCTTTCTGTTTTATGGCTTGCTTTCTCTGGCCCTCCAGTTATCTGTGATTGAAAGAGAAGGCCCGGGCGCCTGGGTGGCTCAGTTGGTTGAGCGACTGCCTTCGGCTCGGGTCATGATCCTGGAGTCCCTGGATCGAGTCCCGTATCGGGGTCCCTGCTTGGCGAGGAGCCTGCTTCTCCCTCTAACCCTCCCCGCTCTCATGTACTCTCTCTCTCATTCTCTCATTCTCGCTCTCTCAAGTAAATGAATAAATCTTTAAAAAAAAACAAAAAAAAGAAAGAGAAGGCCGTTGGCTAGAGAAGGGACGGGATGGTGGGGAAAGCAGGCAGCCCTCATTCCTCAGGCCCCTAGCTCACCCCCCCAACCCCGCACTGGCAAAAGATCATGCCCCAACTGCCTGTTGACCACTCAGGACACAGATGCCCACCCACCCCTTGCATCTGTGCACACCAACACAAGCACGTTCAGGCGCTCAGACCACACACACACACACACACACACACACACACACACAGGTTTTCACCTCCCATAAACATTCACAGCACACAGGACCTTTTCCCAGCCCAACCAGCACAAATGGTGAACATTCATGCAGGGATACAAAAACCTGGGCCAACTTGGGCCCAAAATCTATCCCAGCTTTGACTCTTCTCCAGGCCTATTTCTCCTCTGGTCTTGGTTCTCCCCCAGTCTTTCCCTACAGAGCACAGCAGAAGTGGGGTGGAGGCACCTGAGGGTGCTCCATCCCCAAGCCTGCCGGTTGTGAAACTCAGTCAGCTCTGTCTGGGTTTCTGGAACGCAGCCCCCATCCCTGAGGTGATCACATGGAAAATGTCCAGCTGTGGTTGCTTGGGGAGATGAGCTCAGCCCGTCTGAGTGGGGCTGGGGGCCTGGACTCAGCGTCAGACTTTCCATCTCGGACCTTACGCCTCCTCCTACCCCCAAATACCACTCCAGGGATTCAGGAGCAGGAAAGAGGCCAAAGGGACTTCTGACACAAATGTCTCAGGCCAGAACGGGTTTGGCAGAGGAGGGGAGACACTGAGTGGAGAGCAGACCAGAGCTGGAAGCACCTCTGGGTCTGCTTCACCCCTACCCACCCACCTCAGGGAAAGAAACCCAGAGAAGAGGCACACAGGAGACTGGCCTGCTGTGTGATGAGTGCAGAGGAAGTTGACTTCAGAAATCGGTACCCAAGAGGTGGGGGTGAGGAGGACAGGGAGCCAGTGAAAGAATAGTCAATTCAGGGACCCCAAAATGGCGAGGGACAGAGAAAGCTCGGTCCTAAATGGGAAGCAGGTAAGGAGCAGACCAGGCAGCCTGCAGGCTTCCTGCCCACTCCAAAGTGCCTCTTGGGGGCCAGCAGAGTTCCCGACCCAGCAGGAGGAAAGGATGGCCCCCCAGTTCTATCATCTCCTACTTACCATGCCTCCATATGCCTCCCTCCGCATCCTCCCTCTTCCCCCTACTTCTTTCCTTCCTGGTCCTTTCCCCTTCCCTCCTCTCACCCATCTTTCCAGGACCCTCCCTCCTGCTGCCTCCACCCCTTCCCTTTCATCCTCCTGGCTCTGCCTCCTGAATCACTCTGCTTTTTCTGTCTTTATGTGGCCTCTCTGTCCACCCCTTTGCTCCTTTCTATCCCCATCATAGCCCGATGCCCCCTCCTCCTTCTTCTCCCTTCTTATTCCCCCCAGCATGGCCCACTGAACTTTGTACATAGTTAGCACTCAAAATGTACACTGATGTGGGTCAACCATACTTCTATGTGTCTTGCATGGTTCTCAGCACTTTTCAAGTAGACAGATCTCTACTGGTTAAAAGGCTGGAGCCATGGAAGGTTTTGAGGGAGGGGCGAAGTAGCATCATCAGAGCTTTGGTTTAAGATTAATTTGCCTGCAGTGAGTAGGGCAAATTGCAGGGGAAATGAGACCCGCTTTTCTCCTTTCCCCTCTCCCTCTCCAACTGTTTCCTTCTGACTCTTCCTCATCTTCACAGGCTTCCTCATGTGACCACAATGTCTCCCTCTCTCCCTTCCATGAATCTCCCCTCCTTTCTTCAGTTTTCCTTCCCTGCACCCCCATCCACCCAAGCTCCTTCCACCACCCCCCCCCTTTCGTGGCACATCTGTAAGCAATTGGCTTGTGGAGGGGGGGTAGGGTTGTGATCTTTTCCCCACCAGCTGTGGGGGTGTGGCCAGCTGTGCCGTGGCAGGCTGGGTGTGAGGGTGTGGTCTGAGGAAAGGGTTGATCTCCCTGAGGTGAAAGCTTAGAGCTCCATCCCACCTTTCCCTCCCCCAGCCACTCAGCCACCTACCAAACCCCATTTCCCTTCTTCCCAGGTCAATCTCCATCACATATCCCTCTATCTTAGAGACCTGAGGGCCTTAGCCTTACCCCCCACCCCACAGTTCTGTCTGCTGGGACCCCCTAGCCAAGCCTAGATCAGAGATGGGGACAGGGAGGTCTCTGGTGCCCAGCCTCTGAGCTGCTGGATAGCTATTGAAAGGGATCTGAGCCAATAGGTTGGGGAACTCCTCCTCTTGGCTTCTCCCCTGGGGCTTTGAAGTCCAGTCAAGGGTTGAGGCCAGAGGTGAGAAGGGATGGAGGCTCAAAGGGCAAAGCCCATTCAATCTTTGCTGCAGGTAAGGCAGGAAGACCCCCATATATTTTTGCACTCATAAATTGTATACAACACTATCTTCTATTATATTATTATCTCAACTCAATAAGCCACAACCTTAGAGTCCAGAGGCTGTTTAAGAATCTTTCCAGGGGGTGCCTGGGTGGCTCAGTCGTTAAGCGTCTGCCTTCGGCTCAGGTCATGATCCCAGGATCCTGGGATCGAGTCCCACATCGGGCTCCCTGCTCGGCGGGAAGCCTGCTTCTCCCTCTCCCACTCCCCCTGCTTGTGTTCCCTCTCTCGCTGTGTCTCTCTCTGTCAAATAAATAAGTAAAATCTTTAAAAAAAAAAAAAAAAAAAGAATCTCTCCAGGTTTGGTTCCCCATCAAGCTGTAGGAGAAAGGGAGAGGGCTCTACTCCCCAGGAGTGCTCCGTATCACTGAACTCCTGAGTCTTGGCCCCAGAGACTTTCCATTTTACCCTTAGGGGCTGGCTGCTGGCAACATCTGGACCCCTTGCCAAGGTCACTGTACACCCCTTTTACCCCCAAATTCAACCCCAACAGGTTAGCTCTCCCCGAGGGGAAGGGCAAGGGGATAGACCTATTCTTAGCCCTGTACGTGATCCCTGGAAAACAAATGTGCTCATTACAAGGTGACGATGGACAGGGAGGAATTTGCAGCCAAGGAAGGAGTGTGTGTGTGTTTGTTTGAGGGTGGAGAGGTGAGGAGTGCAAAAGGTCCAGAGACTCATGGGCAGGACTTCTGTCCTTTCATGAGAAGCAAGCAGGGGGGACACGCTGGCCCCCATCCCCAACCTCATGCCAGGGCAAATTTATTATTTTGTCAAGAACAAATGGCATACCTATGCTATACAGACACACACACAAACCCTGATTCCTTCCTGATCAGAGATGTCATCTCTATACAGCCAGAAGGAGCTGAAGCTAATGAAACAGTCTGTCTGGGTTTGGGTGCAATCCCTGCGATCTCTTGCCTTGCTCCCAGCCCCTTCCAATGCCCTAACTTCCTGTCTGGGATTGGTAATCCTTCCCAGGAGAGGGCTAGAAATGGCAGGCAAACTTAGGGGGGTGGGAGGGAATGCCTGGCTCATCTTCAGCCCCGCACAGCCCCAGTCGGATGTGTATTGGGAATCCTGGTGTTCCAGGTCCCTCCCTGATGGGCTCCAGATGTGCTTACATCTGGGAAGGCCATCCCAGGAAACTGATGCTCCCGCCCACAGCTCCCACCCCGGATGGATCTCTCCTCCAGCCCCCAGGTTTTTGAGCACAGAAGCTTCAGGCACTCCTTTGCTCTCCAGAGGTAGTTCCAAGGCAGCAAGGGGGAGAAAAAGGATGGAAAGTAATGGGGGTGGGGTGGGTGAGCAAATAAAATGAGGTCAACATTTAGAACACCCCAGAGAATCATATTTCCCTTTTAACTTCCTATCTGGGGTTGTTACATTTTGCTGTAGAATTCTGTTCCAGAAAAAAAGAACAGAAAAACTGAAGAGGTTTTGGAAGCAAAGACTCTAGCTGGGATGGAGGAAATTCCTTCCCATTGATCTGCTTGTTTTGCACCCCTGGGTCTTATATTTTTTTCACCCCAGTGTCTCTTTAGCCCTGCCCCTCTCCCATCAGTGTCCTTCCCCTAATTCTTGTCCCTCTGTCTCTCCCTTACCTAGCCCAGCTTGGGAAATCTCCCAGTTTGGTTCCTTCCAGAGCTATCTGGTCACAGTCTCAACCCCTAGGTTCAGAGCCCTGGAGCACCAAGAGAACTCAAGCATCCTATCCCCCAGGACTGGTCTTGTCACCCTAGCAAACATCATCCACCCCTTCTGTGCTCTGAGCAAAGTGGGTGTGGAAAGGGGAGGGTAGTCTGGGTTTACTTTAGGTCTAGGGCATGGGGGAGGGGGTTCTTCCCACCAGACAGGGAGTGGGGGTGGTGGGTGGTGACTCACAGATGATGGAGCCATCAGTTCCTCTAGGCTGAGACCTGAGTCAGGGCAGTGACAGAGCCCAAGGGTTCAGATGGCTTGCTCCTGTACTTTCCAATTACTCTCTCTTAGATACATACACTCAGAGCAATGTCTCAGTGTTAGCAGGCTCTGGACCCAGACTCCTGGGATAACTGGGCTCCTACTCTATTTCCAGAGATCCACCCCCCACCCCGCCGCAGCTCCCCTTCTTTCCCTCTCTAAGAAGGACTCCCACTCATCACCCCACCACAGGGCAGAGGGATTGGGACCCCCAGGCCAAAGCCAGGAGCCACAGACCACCTAACCCCTCTGGCCCCTTTGTCCAGCAAGCTTTTCCCAGTCTTGCTTGTATCAAGTGACATTAAGAACATGGTATTTGCACAGTCCCCCACAGTAAGCGAGAGCCACCAGCCTGGGGTTTCTGGCAGTTCCAGGTCTCTCTAGACTACAAGGGTTGAGGGGATCAGTATCTGTCTCAGCACATCTACAACCACCAGTGAGGAAGTTTTATTTCATGAAGAGCTCACTCAGCCCAAACCACCCAACCAGGCTTCTTACAGACCTGACAAGGCTTGAGTCTATTCCTTGAAATCAGGACATCCAGCTTCAGTGTTCGTAGAATTTCCAGGCATTTGAGACTCTAAAAGAAACAACCGGGTCTCACCCCAGAGAAATCACATGCATACACACAAGAACTTCCATCCAGTTTCAGAGGACTAATGGATTGTGCACCCAGTGTTCCCACCACCCCACCCTGCAGACAGTGGACCTAGGTTAAGGATCCCTGCTCCAGAATCTTCCCCCTATAGAAACCCAGCCCAGTTTAGAGGGCTAAACTGACAGTACAGTGGGAAAAGCAGTGACTTTGTTATCAGTTGGGATTGAATTTGGATTCTACCTTGGCCCCTTTCTTTCTTTCTTTTCTTTTTTTTTTTTTAAGATTTTACTGATTTATTTGACAGAGACACAGCGAGAGAGGGAACACAGGCAGGGAGAGTGGGGGAGGGAGAAGCAGTCTTCCCACTGAGCAGGGAGCCCCACGCAGGGCTCGATCCTGAGATCATGACCTGAGCCGAAGGCAGATGCTTACCGGCTGAGCCACCCAGGCGCCCCTCAGCCCCTTTCTTTCTGTTGATCTTGGCTCAGTCGCTTCACTCGTTGGGCCTCAGTTTCTTCACAGTAAAATGAGGAATATGGTACATTCAAATGCTGGATAGCTGGGAAGATTAAATGGGATAAAGGCAGGTTAAAGGTCAAGTGCAGGACCAGACACATAGCACATGGGAAATAAACCATTAATACTCCTCATCCCTCTCCCACCCTATTGAAACTAAGCATGGTCCCTGGCTTTAGAACTTGCACCTCTACCCTGACCATCTCTGAGAATTTCCTCTTCTTGTTTTAAGGCTTCAGCCTTCAGGGCGGGCAGGCTGGTGACAGCAGGAGCCTGGTGAGTGTCCTGCCCTTGCCCTTCACTCCTTCTGCCCCACCGTCAAGCAGACTGTGATTAATAATAGTCAGTCATCACAGCAAATCATTCCTACTGAGCGTTGAAGGGACAGAGGGTACCAGAGAGGTCAGATCTGAGAGACAAAACAGAGACACTTGGAGACATACAGGCTGGGCCAGACAAGCTGAGAGATACACAGAAGAGAGAAAGCTGAGAGGAGACAGAGCATTCAGAGGTCAGCTGGCTGAGAAGAAAGGGCATTGGGTTTAGAGTCAAAACACTTAAGTTCTAGACTCACCACTGACTGCCTAGCCCTGTGACCTTGGATAAGTCACTTCATCTGTCTACACCCATTTCCTCTTCTGAAAGAGAGGGTTGGGCTGATAACCTCTAGATTAACCCCCCTCCTGGCAGACCTTTTAGGCCCCTCCTAGGCTGACCTTCCAGACCTGGAGGGCTATACAGAAGCAGCTCCAACTAGGAGGGAACCCTAAGCCAGGCCTGACCCGGAAGCAGAGGAAAGCAGAGCCAGGCAAAGGCAGACATGGTGAGAGGAAAGGCAGGAGGTGTTGGGGCCACTGGGAGAGGACTTATAAGGGCAGAGAGAGCCAAGAGAGGAGGGATATTGGGGAGAGTAGAAAAGCCAGCCAGAGAATGACTAAGGGGCTCCCGGTATAAACAGGAGCGGGGAATGGACAGGGAGGGGGCCTGTTTGAGTTGGCCAAGGCTGGGGGTGTGGAGTGAGGAGGAGGACTGGGGCAGGACACTCTGTCCCCTGTCCCCCACCAAGGCTCCTGGGAGGAGCTGAGTCACACACCTCCCTCCCCTATGCCCCTCCCCACCCCCCACCCAAGCTCCCAAATCCTGGGAAAATCTGAGTTTATGCCTGGGCTGAAAAAAAAACGAGAGAGCTGGGTTCATACACTTGTGCTTTGCTGGGCTGTACAGCAGTCAGGCCACAGCCCCTCTCCTGCCAAAAGGGGTTCTCAGCCCTTGGTTCGAGCAGTTTTCACCTAGAGGTTACCTCGGAGGCAGTGGCATGCTTAGATTCTGACCCAGAGATTCCTTGGGTTCCTCGCCTAAGAAAGGCTCAGGACCCACAGATGTGAGAGTGGGATGGGGGCCAGCATCACCCCACAGTCTGACCACCTGGCCTCTCCCCTGGGCTGCAGCTGGCTCTGGAGAGGCGCTTTTAAAAAAACAGCTGGGTGATTTGGGACAGGAAGGAGAGTAGCAGAATGAGGAGGAAGACTCCGTGTGGAAGGAAAAAGCATTGATTCTGGGCACTTCCATTCTGAGTCCCCCAGGCCAGAGTGGGGCAGGGGCCTGGGGAAGAGAGGGGGCAGGGTTTGATTTGGGGGATTATTATTCTGGAAGGGGAGAAGTCCTGGGGGAAAAAAGGCAGGAAGGGGGCTGGGAAGGAAAGGTTAGGAGAGAATCTAGGCCCCTTGGTCCCCCTCCCCCAGACTAAGATAAAGACTAGAATCCTGAAAGGTGATCTCACCACACAGAGCCAGGGCTGGGGGAAGGGGTGGGCAGGGGGTCACTGCCTTCCCTTGCTAAAGAGTCCTTTCCTCTACATCCACAGGGGATCAGGGGATAACGGGGTCCTGGGTTCCAGCTCCCAGAACTTAAAGGTTGGGTCCCTTTGCAAGACACCACCACCACCCTACCCCACTCTACAAATCTTCAGGTTTGTAGGAATCTGGCCAGTTTGATCAAGAAGACACTGAGGGGCCAAAGCACCCCCCTCCCAACCACTCCCAGGCTCTTGGTCAAATGCCAGACTCTAGGGAGGGTCTCAACAGAGGTTTCCATACCCTACAACCAAGAAGGGGGTGACCTGGAGCAGAATCACCTGGTGAGTGATCCCAAACTCCTGGGTTTTCAATTCTAGCAGCTTGGAGGGAGGGGGTGAGGGGGCAGGAGAACTCGAGGAGCCCCAGGCAGGTCCTCCATCAGATCAGGCTGCCTGGGAGCGCTCTGTACCTCAACTCCTGAATCCCAAATCCAGCTGGCCGGAACCCAGGCACCCAGTGGCCCCGGAAGGCAAGGGGGAATCCCAGTTGGCTAGATGCCAGCGGTGTCTCCTATCTCTTTAGACCCCAAAATCTCCTTCCCGAAGGAATGAGGGAGACCCCCACACACATATACAGGCTCCCTTCTCCCTCCAGAGGTGATTCCTTTCCTCATTAGGAAATTCTCCGCTCCCTTTTTCCGACTCCTTTTCCGAGCGTTTACGTTGTACATCTGGAAAGGAGGGGGAGGAAGGAGGGGAAAGCAGCGAGGAGGGGGAAGAGCCCAAACCCGCTCCGTCTGACCCAGTCCAGACAACCGGCCTCCAGCTGGGGCTAGGGAGAGGGGAGTGGAGAGGTGCGGGGGCCCCCCACGCCCCTTCGGGGTGGGGGGCGCGGGCTCAGCGTTCCAAGGACCCAGGAATGCCCCCCCGCCCGCCCCCCGGCAGGCGGGGCGAGGGCTCAGCCGGGAGTTTGGCAAACTCCTCCCCGCGTTGAGTCATTCGCCTCTGGGAGGTTTAGGAAGCGGCTCCGGGTCGGTGGCCCCAGGACAGGGAAGAGCGGGCGCTATGGGGAGCCGGGCACCAGCGTTCCCTCTCCACGCCGTGCAGCTGCGCTGGGGCCCCCGGCGCCGACCCCCGCTGCTGCTGCTGCTGCTGCTGCCGCCGCTGCTGCTGCTGCCGCCGCCACCCAGGGTCGGGGGCTTCAACTTAGACGCCGAGGCCCCAGCTGTGCTCTCTGGGCCCCCGGGCTCCTTCTTCGGCTTCTCGGTGGAGTTTTACCGGCCGGGATCAGACGGGTGAGCGAGGAGAGCTGGCGGTGGGATGGGGGGTGGGGGCTGAGACGGGGGGCGCGGCTGGAGTATGGAGGGGACCAAGGCTTGAGTTTGGGAGGCGGAGTTTGGAAGGACTAGGGCTGGAGTTGGGGGCCCACGCTAGAGTTGGGGGCCCGCGCGGGAGTAGGGAGGGGACAGTGGCCGGCGCGGAGTGGGCGCCTGGAGTTTGAGATCAGTGGGGAGACATGTGTGGGGTGGGGAGAGGACACGAAGCTGGAAGCTGGAGAGGTCTGGGCAAGGGTCTCGGGGCCAAGGGAAAGGAGGACGCGCGAACCGAGAGCAGCGGGTCTCTGGCTGAGATCTGTGAGCTGCGGGGACCCGAGGCGGATGCTGGCGAGAGGGGGCGCGGAGGCCGGGAAGGGCTTTTTGGAGCCCTGGGGGACCTCGGGACCCCTGAGGGCCATTGTGCGGAGGGAAGACGGGTCGAAGCAGAATGAGCTGTGTGTAGCAAGAGGGAAGTCGGACTCTGAGGGGGTCCGGAGGTTAAAGGGGGACCAGCTTCATCCTCCCCTCCCCCGCCTCCGCTCAGACTGGGAAAGACCCGGCAGGGGGATGGCGGCTCCCTCCCCTTTCTCCTCGGGCTCCTACTCCGCCCTCCACCCCCAGTCTCCGTTCGGACGAGGGGACCCGAGAAGTTGGGGAGAGTCCCGGGACACGGGCCCTGGGGGCGCCGGCGCTGGGGCGGGCTTGGCCAAGGGCGGGTGCTCGGATGTGTCGGGAGGGGTGTGTGTGTGCGCGCGTGAAGGGGGGTGGGCGGTTTCCCTCTTCCTCTAGCTCTTGGGAGGAAGAGAAATGCCGATTTCCTGTAGCTTGTAGGCTGGAGCTGAACTGAGACCGGACTCCAGGGCTGGGGTCGGAAGCTGGGGAGACGCGGGCTCGCTGGGCCCAAGAGCGTCATAACATAGGACATCAAGGACTGGGGAAGTCTCAAAGGAGGGTCCTTATTCCCAGCTCAGCAGGGTGACAAGCAGACCCGACTCTGAGTGCCTGGATAGGGGGGGAGCCCACAGACTTGGGGAAACCGGAGTTAGAGCTGAGGCAACATTGGAACAAGGGTATTTGTTTAAATGTGGGGGGTTGGGAAGCAAGAGAAGAAGGTAGCTGCTCCTGGGCCAAGCCAGGGACTCCCAGCTGCCAGATTCCTGATCCTCCACAATAACTGGGAAATCCTCCTTCTCCTTGTCTCTGGGCTCTGAGCTTCCCACTGGTGCCGACCACCACCACCCCAACCCCTAGTGTCTCGGGGTTTGATAGGACCTCTGTCAGAGGTGAGCTGTTTTTATACATGATACAGTTAACTTAGCTCTACTCATTTTCTTTAGTTTTTGGAGAAAAGGGGTTAATCTAGCTAATTCAATGGGGGGGGCAGCAAATTTCTCCTTTGTCTGAAATGGGAAGAAAGAAAGATGGTTAGGCCCCAGCTGTTGGTTCTGCGCTATTCAAGGTCCCCACCCAACCCCCACCCCACCCCCCTGGCCTCCTGCCCAAACCCCATTGCATCACCCTGGCCTGGAGCCTCTGCCAGGCCTGGCCTCCCCCAGGCCCCCTCAAACTGCTTACCACAACCCTAATGGAGTAGAGAAGAGGGAGGCAGGGAGGGGATGGGATCTTGCCCCATATCAGGGTAAATCCAGTGGTCTGGCTCTTAACCTTCCTCACAGCCCACCCCCACCCCCACCTAGCCAAAGTGTCATCTCCCTTTTAAAAGACTCCTTTAAAACATCTGGATTTTCACACACTCCCATTCCCTAGGTGTCTGGCCCCTGGGCTGATCCTATAGTCCCTAAAGCAGTCTTCTCAACCAGGACCCAGCCTTCTCATCCCTCTTCCTCCCCCTCTGCTCATCTCTCCTCCCAAGAGAACCCAGGTGTCCAGCTTGCACTCCTCCCCTCTCATCTTCTCTTACAATACACCCTTAGAGTAGGACTCTGAACAATCCGCCTCGCGAGTGACCTCCCTCCCACCACAGCTGGGCCTTCAACCCCCTCCTGCCCACAGGGGACAAAAGTAGCTCCCAACCTGGGGCCATCTGTGGAGAGGGCAGGCCTCAGTGTTCTTGTTGTCCCTGAAACATCTCTCACAGGGGCACTGAGACAGCATCAAAGGGCAGGGTGAGGCCGAGAGGGGTTACATGGTAAGACAGGGCCACGCTTTGAGTCAGACAGCGCTGGGGGTGCATCCTGGCCCCACCACTTTGTTCTTTGTGTGACCTGGGGCGAGTTACTTTTGCTCCGTGTTTCACGGTGTTTCATGAAAATCAGACACCTAATGGATGAGACTGTTCTGAGGACTGAGTGAGACAATAGATACAAAAAGCACCTGGTCCATAGAGGGTGATCAGTACATGGGAGGCATGATTTTTCCAGGGTAGCTGTTTTCTATTTCTGGTTTTCTCCTCCCTGGATATCACCTGGTTCTTTGTCTACCTTATTCCCCATTTCTTACTTGCTTTTAGTATTTGTTTAGAGTAGTGATAATGGTCCTTCACATTCCTTAGCGCTGTCCTATCAATTTTTCCATTGGATTGTTAACAAAAACCCTTGCGTTGGGTATATAGGAAACACTATCGTGTCGTTTTATATATACATATAAACGGAAACTTCAGGAATCATAGAAATTGGCTTAGGGACCATTCAAGGGCAACCCGTCATTTTATGGGGAGAGAATCCAGAGCTTGGAGAGAAGTGACTTGGCCCAGGTCACAAGCTGGAAAGGCATCCAGACTTCTTAGCCCGGCTCCTCCTTCCCTTCTGGTACCGGCGCTGCCCCAAGTGGAGCCGACTCTTCCCCACCAGCCAGCCGGGCATTTCTCTTGGGAATACACTGGGGGATCTAGAATGTCCTCTTCTGACCTGGCCAGGGCAGCTGTAGGATCTGCAGGAGCTGGGCCCTGGTCCACTTGCTACTCCCCACCCCCCGACCTTGCCAGGCCAACAGAGTCAAACA